ACTGTTTTCCAATAGTGGGCACCTGAATTGTGCAACATCAGAACTTCAATATCACTTTAAGATATAAATAAAGTAATTACTAAAACCTGGATTAATTCTGGATAGGCACATTCCTGATCCCTTCCCTAAAATATGGTACCTAATGAAAGCTCAGAAGTGTGTCTTCCATGGCTGCCCCTACTTTATGGAACTGCCTCCCCTGGGAGGCTAATTGCAGAGGTATACTTTAACAAAATGTAGAATGGGAGGAGAGCCTACTTTTTCAAAGTAAAACCGTGAAAGAGAAAGTTAATGTGCAGAACATAAACCCAAAACCATAAATTTCTCCCCAAGAATGTGATCTGTTTCCATTTGATAAGGAACTGGCAAAGATGAATTAAGTATGAATTCTTAAGAAAGGGCCATTGAAAAACACTTCCCTTTCAAATGAACTTGATTCCGACAGCAAAAAATTTCTATTTAGTTTCCTGACATAATTTTCTTTCTGAATTCTTTTATGTTGAAATATGGCAATTTACAGGTCTCTTGCAACATTCTGGGAAATGAAATTAATATCTCAAATTTCAAATGTGAGTATTTACCTATAATTACTGGAATTGGAAATTCTAGATGAATCTAATTCCATCTCCAAAAATGGTAATGTCTTTATGTTATATTTTAGTTTTACCATCTTTTCTATGGTGCCTGTGGCAAATAAGATGCATATATGAAAGACATATTTTATTTGTTATTTATTTGATATATTCTGCCTTTATTTTCAACATACCAAAGTGACACATATTTGTCATGGACATGACATACATGTACAGATGCAATGCAGAGGACGATCCTATCAATATATGTCAGCACAATGTCAAGTGCATTTCCTTTCTTGAATACATGACACAAGTCTTACTGAAGATACAGGCTTCTGTATCACAGAATGCCCCTGAAAAGATTGGTCAGTAGGTTCCCATTTTTTTACAATTTGAGTTCTATTATGGAAATATATTAACTTGGAAGTCTTCATAGCTTACCTTTTCTATTGTACCCACAAGATAATGTTTCCTTTAGCTTTGCAGCTGAGACATTAAGTTGTTGGATATCCGTAATGAAGAAAGGTAAGATGCACAGAGTACTGAATAAGTGAATTTTTTCTTCAATAAGAATAGAGAACCAAAGATTGGAAAAGAACTAGATGAAAGAATAAAATCCAAAACTAATAGAAGATGTGGAAAACAGAAGTTGTGGAAAGCACTGAGAAAGTAATTTTTCAACTAGAGGCATATTGTATCACTACAATTATTCCAAGATTCCTTATCAGTCAAATGCTAGCTTGGATCCCTAGTTCGTATGAATATGTAGGACTTTTCGTACCAATGTGTATCATTTTACACTTGCTCATATTGAATGACATCTACCATTTTCACACCCACTCCCCTAATGTGCAGAGATCGCCGTAAGAGATTCTTGCCGACTTGCTCCTTTAAATCTAGTTCATTATTATATGTATGTACTGCTCTGCTGAAATGTAAAGAAAATAATATGGTTCATCGTTACAAGTGATGAGGACATAAAAAGTTTTCCTGTTTCATCTGAACCAAAGAAAGGCAAAAAGAAAATCCCAAAATAAATAGGTAGTGGCTTGGGGCCTGGCTATCTATGAGACTGCTTATTTCAGATACACATGCCAACGTTTCCCGTTGCCTATGGTGTGATGAGAAGGGATATGGAGGTTAGCATTCCTTGTTCCTGTCAAAATAACACCTCCCAGAAAACGATTCCTGTTTTGATGTTTAGGAAGCTAGATGGGGTTTTTTGGGGGGAGGGGAGTGGGGGTTGGAGAGCAATTGTAAATTGAAGTGCTGAATTGATAAATGCACCGTACTTGAGATTAGCGATGGGTACTGGTGGTAGTGGCAGTTTTATTCAATTATTGAAATATATTAACTTTTTTGTAATGTAGAATCCTCTTTATTAAATGGTATTTGGTTCTATAAGTGATGCAGTTTCAGTTGACCAAAGCAACACAGAAACACTTATGAAAAATAAATAAAAAGCAAACTAAATGGAAAAAAAACCAGAAATCATTTATTAGAACTCTTGAATGACTGGTGTTGATAAGTGAATTGGAAAGAGTAAAATTCACTAAAAATCTCTTGACCTGCAAGGCAGAGGCATGGAAGATTCAAAATTCTGCATCTGTTATTCTTTAATGCTGTTGCATTGCCATTTGCCAAGTACAATTTGAGTACAACATATCATGTCATACACACACACAGGCACAAATCAACTAAATAAATAAAATAAATACCTGACTAATGTTTTATATTCACAACTGAAAATCAATGAAAAACCTTAAATATTTATAGAGCAGAATTTTAAGGTTAAATTTGAGGGCAAATATTTTTTAGAGTTTTTATACAATAGTGTCAAATAACTGCAGCTCAGATATAGGATGAAGGTGAAGGTTCATTCTGTTTATAATTTTTTAGATGTATTTATATTTTTGCTGAGAAAAACTAGCTGTGTAACATTTTCTTTTGAATAGAAAAAATAGTATAGAACATGAATTCTATAATACTCCAAATGTTAGCGAGTTACAACTCCCAATAAATGACATCAATACCAAGGGAAACTGTAATTCAGCAATATCTGGAACTTAATAAGTAAATCATCTTCATTAGTTTGAAATAAGAGAACTAATCAATTGTAAAGTGAGGAGAAGCTTAAATTATCTCAAGGAGAATTTAAAAAAACATGTTTTCTGGGATGGATTGTGTAACATTTATTTCAGTCTAGCTAAAAAAATCTTTAATAAATAAATTCCCATTTGTTTTTTATTTTGATTTGGATTTGTTATACTCCTAGAGGGCCAATGTTGATTAATTCTTGCCCTACTATACACATTATGCCTACTGTTTATTCAATACATCTAGTCTGGATGTGCCTTTTGTGAATAAAATTGTAAAGCTTAGCATTTTTGCCTGTAAATTGCAAACTCAACAGTTGTCATACAACAGCCAGTCTTCTAGTAATATTTTATTATTATAATTAATTTCACTGATGATGACACTTTCAGTTGTAACAACTTCAAAAAGGGTAGCCATGCAAATTGGTTCTAACAAATTCCTACTTCCTACTCCCAACAATTAACTTCTATGCAAAGCTTAAATGTATGCAATGATACATTTAACAATACCATTTAATTAATGATTAAATGACATCATTTAATTAATGATATTAATTAAAATAAGTGTAAGCAACAAGAAAAATAAATTATAAAGAAAAAAAATAATTTAGTGATTATTTAGTATCAATTTAGAATTTAAATTCTTAAATTTATCATTAAATTTAGATCCAATGGGAATATATTACTTCAGCTCTTTTTTAGAACATAAACCTTTTTCAAAAAGAGATATGATTTGAAAGCAAAACAAAGATACAGCTAGGCAAGACCAAATCATACTAGAAAGAATTCTCACATTTCTTGCAATTCCCCCCAAATAGAAATCTAATACCGAATGTTTGAAACTCCTTATGGAGAGATTAAATACTATAGATAGAGGGTTCATATTATTAGCCTCTCATAGTTGCTGTAATGTGATGGGGGGGATATACATCAAATAAATATAATATTTTCAATTGAATTTCATTCTTATATGTTTAATTCAAAAATCATAACAGAAGTTTATATTTTTAAAAACTTTAATCCATTTATTTTCCAAGATTGCATATTCCAATTCTTCATTCCATCATTAGACACCTGAAGTTGTTAACTTCCATTCTGCTTTTTAGTTCCTTATAGAATTGGACTTGTTTCAGTTCAAGCACTGCATCATTTAAAGTTCCTTTATTGCAGGTCATCTTCCAGGCTGTTAAACCATCTTGGGCATACAGCTTAGTCAGTGCATATTTCAGTTGTATTACGAAGTGGAAGTTATAAATAAACCATATTCATAATGCAAGACTTTTACACAACCATTATAAATCAATTGATTTAAGATATTTATCCCTTATTTAGATTCTAGTAAAATATAACCCCGGCTGCTTTCAAATTAGGGTTATTCCCACAATGTCAATTTCTCATGTGATTTGGGATCAATATGTGGCCCCTTATCTATTTATAAGCAAATATGGCTACAAGTTTTCAAGACTGAAAATAAATATTCCTATTTAATATACTTGGAGCATAAAACTTCCAAGTTTTCAGAGATAGACAGACAGACAATGCAGGCTCTATAATAAAAGTAAAAATAGGCATTAACCTTGGAATCCTTAAAATATACATGGATCTCAATGTAGAATGCATTTCAATATTAATCTTGCCCTAAGACATAACAGAAATTTTAGGCATTGCGCTGCATTAACTGAAATTGCATCTATTAAACATATTGTGCTATCGTTTGAGAAAAACCATGAACCCAAGTCTTTTAGAATCAGTACAAATTGTAATCCTTGCCTGTTTAACAATCTATTGAAAATTCAAATCCCAAAGGCATATTATAGACTTTTGCCAATTAATAATGTAACTAAAATAAGAGCTATATTGTTGTACATTCTCAGCAAACTGATGGTGACTATTATTTAGAGAGGTTGCCATCTAAATCTATTTTATGTTGTTACCCCTTTGTGAAAACTCCAGCACCATTCAGCCTGCGCTGCTCCTTTAATAATTAACCGGGTGAGGGAGGGAGCCGAGGCCATATTTACCTATAAATGGAAGTGACGTCACACGGGTCATTGATTTCGTTTTCTACACGTCACTGCCATTCCCCTGCCTGTTCTTTTTCGGAGCGAGCCGCTCGAGCCAATCCAAATGTTCCCATGGTAACCGGGGTAAGTGCCAGTGGCTCCCTGCCAGCAATATTCAATGACGAGGTGCGGGTTCCTCCGCTCAGAGGCCGGTTGCATCAAGGAAAAGCTGTCAGAGCTGCTCGCCGGTGCCCAATCAAGAGGGCAGAATTGAAGCGAAAGTGGGAGGGACTTGCAAGCAGCCGGCGGTGCAGAAGTATAAGACGGGGAAGGCGAGTGTCGCGTGTGATTCTCCGGTGAGTGTCTGGTGTTCCCGTGGATCGTCTGAGAAGAAAGACCTGTAGGTGAGCAACCGAGGGGCCGTTCTGCTTTTCTCCATTAAAAAAAAAAAATCGTCTCCTCTCGTTTATTTATATCCTGATCGTTACTTAATCTGTACATTTCTTCATTTTCTCAATCGGAAGATGGGGATGGCTTGAAGTGCCCTTGGCTGTTAAAACCAGTTACTCCAGTAATGTGGCATATGCGGAAAGTCGGTTATGGGAGAAGATTAGTTGGAATATTTTCAGAAACATCTTTGGCTTCTTGGCTGACTTTTAACTTTTGTTAAGCTCTGCTGTCGATTTTGCTGTTCGCCAGTTTTTCATCGATGTTTTAATAAACCGAGGTGGCTAATAATCAAAATTGCTGCAAAACTGATCATAGTCATATTATTTAAAGGATTAATGGGGGTCTCTTTTTCTCAATGAAAAATGCTCATTCTTAAAGCCCTTGTAGCCGTTTTAGCGAGTTAGGGGGCATTTAGAACACATCCGAGGGGCACCATATTGTGCAGAATTGGCTTAAGGGTTTCTTTCTTCTTTTTCCAGTGTTTCCGGTTTATCATTCCACACATTGTAGATCTTCCAAGATACATTTTTTTTTTTAAGATACATCCATGCAAGTAACTTAAGAGTGAGGTTCCACCCTACAGCAATTTTATTTCTCTTCAGAAGGAATAAAACTCATTCTACCTTTTGAAGTATACTGTAGCTAGCTGTTCTGGAGAGAAAGACAGAGAAACCCAAAGGGCTAAAGATGTGCCTTATTTTAGTAGGATTTAGTGAGTGTACATAATTTGGATTTTTTTCTCTTATATGCGGCTGGCAGTTTGCCCACAATTACGTTCATTCACAAAATTCCAGATTTACAACCCTATCCAAGATTTCATAACTTATCTTCTTAAAAATGTTTCATTTACTTGACTGCTACATTAATTTTTTAAACTCATTTTACTTCTATTTTTGAAGTTTTAGCTTTTGTTTTTACTCTGACCCATCTTGCATTTGGTTCATTACCTGTGAAATTCACTCCTAAACTGTTAAAATATTGAGTCTAGAATATTCAGTATGCAGAGCATGGTCCCTTCTCTTTCTTTACAGATAAGGTGGGGTTTGAAGAAAGCAAAAGGTATTACTATGAGCTTCCTTGGAAGTATTAAAAAATTCCTTTAAATGCCTTCAGCTATTTAAAATGTATGTCCTCTTCCATTGCCTTCCCTAATAATATTGCTTGCTCCATGTTCTCCTATACTTGCTTTGTCATACAATTTAAATCCTTTCCTTTTTGCATGCTGTGTGTAAAAGAATATGTCTCTGAAAATAGATCTCTGTGTCTTTGCATTTCATGGGTCACATACGTACATCTTTAACGGAAGTAGGAATATAAAAAGCCTTGTGCCAACTGAAATCATTTGTTAGGTTTATGTAAGCTGACTGACAGAAGCTCCCTGGAGCTTTGAGGAAAAAATCCTTTCCAGTTTAACTTGATGTCTTCTCATGCACCTGTTTTGTTCTCTATTTAATATTCTTAACCAAACTGCAATATTTTTATTTGTTACTCACTTTTCTTTATCAGCTTACCACCTCTTCATACTAAACTCCTTGACTATATGTTTTCCTTGCCTTGATTTCTTCTGCCTCTTTGTTGTGACATCACCTTTTCTCCTTCATCTAAAAAGAATGCTGATTCCTATCAGTGCATTCCTGAATCAGCTTCTTATTTTTTTCAACATTACTTTGCTTTGGTTAAGCCATAAAAATAAACTCTTCAGCAACCTTCTCTAAGACTGTTCCTCTGCAAATCTGGTCTGGGATACTTTCCTGCTTCTAATTACTGCATTGAAATTCACCAGCATCACCTTGTTGGAAGAAATGTCCATCTGAGTTCAATTCCAAGTGGGAAGAAAGACACTGGAAACATGAAGGCTGACTGGAAAGATGGTTTAATGGTGGACAGGACCACATGGTTTGAAGTGCTGGGTAGCTGACTACATGGAGTGGAGAATGAGATACAGTTACCCTCTCTTGGGCTTTGAACTTGTTTCCTTTTCCTGTGAAAGAAATGTATTCTGATTGGTTGTCTGACTCCCATGGAGCCATGCAGGGGTAACTTTGTAGGTTGTCTTGAGTCCCAAGCTTGGTTGAATCTTGCTGGGTGATGTAATCTTCCCAGGTGCCATGTGGTGAGATGGGTAGAGGGCTAATCCTATTATGTCCTGAGGGTGAAGGTCTTTTGTGTTGTAGATGAGCTGGTCCAGCCTGTAGATAAGCTGGCATCGAAATATTTGCTGGGGCAAATATTTGGTGTCCCTTAAGATTTCTATTTCTCCTTTAGGGGAAATATTCTGTCTTTTTTATATTTCCTAGAATATTTCTAGGAGAAAGGTGGGTGCTAACTATCTACAACCTGAAGCACCTTATGGTTACAATACCTCTTGTAAAGTATCTATATTCTCTAAAAACAGATGATCCTTTAACTGTCCACAGTGCTGCTTGGCCCAATTACGAAAGATGGATTTCATTTGTGGCAATCAAGTAGTTTGTCGCAGGTGTTTTCAGTGTATGCTCTGCTTTATATTGAATTTATATTCCTTATTTAGTATCTTGTAACGATGAACTGAATGGATACTTAAAGCAATATTAGAATATAGATAAATTACAGATGAAATGTAGAATGGTTTAAAGAAATTGTATTTATTTCATTTATTAATTAAATGTATATGGCTACCCATATAAATTCTTTTTTAGTTTTGTTGTGTTGTGTAACTGAGAAATGTCTGTCAGATTTAAACCTAGCAGCTTAAACTGTGTAAAGTTGGGATCAGGGATGTATAAAGAATTCTATGGAATCTTTGGTGCTCTCTTGGTTGTTTGCTTGCAGATGTTTCATTACCCAACTAGATAACACCATCAGTGCAAGTGAGTGTTAAGTTTGCCCACTTATATACAGTAGCTGCCAATGATTGTAGGGATGTGGTTTTCTCCTTGGTAATTCCTTTATTGGGGGGAATTGTTTTCTGCTTGATGAGCAGCATGATAACCTAGAGATGGAGCTCTTGCCTCACAATCAGGAGGCTGTGAATTTGATGCTAGGCAGCGGCAGATGTTTGTCTCTGTCTCTGGGTGCAAAGAGAAAATATCTGCGGTGAGGCTCCGTGTAGGTGTCAGGAAGGGCATGTAACCAGTAAACAGCTCCATTCAGTTGCCCCGACTCCAACCCAATGCAAGGGATTACAGGGTCATTAAAAGAAAAAAATGTTTTTTGCTTGATCTTTTGTCTGATTTAATTGCTGCTTATCTGCATATTAGCTGCTGGAGATAATGTGTTCTGGTCTTTTTGTTTCCTATTTAGTTTGTTTATTGTCTCATTTGAATGGTGTGTAAAAGTAGTTTATTCTCTGTGTGTTCACTGATGGTTGCTTTGTCTGCATGCCAAACTTCCAAGAATTCCCTAGCATTTTTGAATGTATCTTGGTCTGGGATCCCTACAATTTCCCACTTGAAATTATGGTGGAGTCTGTCCATGTGTTCTGAAATGAAGAGTTTTCTGGCTGATAGTTGGTGATCATGGATGCACTCTGCCAATCTTCTCTCCATCTGTCCTACACAATATTTATATGCCATCCAGGGCGGCTGTCGAGTGAGATGGGTGGCACATAAATTAAATAAATAAACAAATAAATAGTAGCCATTGCAGTCCTTACTCTGTATCTTTAGATCGGGGTGTCAAACCTGCAACAAAACGTCACCTGATGTATCACAACTTTATTCCCCTTCGCTAAACTGGAGGTGGGCGTGGCCAGTGCGTGACGTATCCAGCCCACAGGTTGTGAGTTTAACACCCCTGCTTTAGATGATTCCTGATTTTTCTTTTTGGATTAATGGGTCCTTTGGTTTCCTTAAGATATTTTGGAGGGCTTTAGTTGGTTTGTGTGCTATAATGATGCCATGTTATTGTACTACTCTTGTTGGTTATTTCTGAGATGTTTTTGTGGGTTGAGTGGTTAGGCACTTTTTAATAAAGTTGGAGGGGGAACCATTTTTGTTAGACAATGTTGTATAGGCAGTATGTTTATTTTCCTAGTGTTCTGGGTTGCTACAGTATGTTTGTTCTGACACAGCTCCTCTTGCGGGAGATTGGGTTGTTACTTTGGGGACTTGGGTTCATATGGCTTGTTTATCAATAGACTTGCATTTTTAATTTACAGTTATTTTCCTCTAGTAAGGAGATTTATCGAGGAAGGGTAGTATGTTGTTGTTTTCTTCTTGCTTTGTAAATGTTATTCCTTTGAAAATGTTGGTTATTGTTTCATATATTTTATCTAGTTGTTCCTTTTTTATTATGAAGATGTCATTTATATACTCAGTTCTTCCCTTTGTTTGTATGTATGGGAGTGCTATATTTTCCAGATAATGCATTGTAGTCTTTGCTATGAATTATAAAATGGTGAATTCTATGCATATCTCTTTGGTTTGTTAGTATATTTGTTCATCAAACCGAATGTAGGTAGTGGGGACAGAGTTTGATGAGGTGTATGATTCTTGTATTTCGATCTTAGTGTCTTTGGCTAGTCTGGGTGTGCTCTCTAATACTGCTACCATGAATTTGTTCACCAGTTCTGGATGTAAAGAAACTATATATAGAATTTTATATGTTCCTATACATGTGTAATGGAATATGTGGATGACCTATGGAGAGAGATGCTGCTTAAGACATAATCAGACAAGAAAGGTAGGGCCCCAAGAAGGATTAAAGATTAGAGAAAGAAAGTTAGAAAGGACCCACCCTAATTGTTCAGGCAGTTAAAAGTAGTGGCCGGAAGTTTGTACCTTCAGACTTGAAAGATTCTGTTAATGTAGCCTTACAACAAAGTAGATTGGTTCACATAGTCATATTTCCTCATTATTTAGCCAGGAGGATTGACAACGTGAGAGGCAGAGGTTAAGTTAGTTAGTTCTTGACTATTAGCTGTTTAGAATTATGGGCTGTAAATGAAAACATCTTGAAACATAGAATATCTGTA